TTTTTTATAGACTATTTTTTTTATAAATTTTTATTATTTTTTATCAATAATTTTATATTTTTATACATTTTGTTTTTATTAGAACATTGTATTTTTATTAAAACATTATTTATTAGTAATGTATAAATTTTATTAATTAAATAAAATTTATGAATTTTAATTTTAATTTTTTTTTACAAAAAAAGACGATTAAATACTATTCCATTTAAATAATTTATAATTTAAACGTTTTGAAAAAGAAAACCTCCATTGTCAATTCCCCGCCGTCTTCTTTCTACCGTTGGAACCCCCCCCCCCCCCCCCCCCCCCCCCCCGAAGGAAGAATGTGAAGGGACACAACATCAAATGAAACTCAATATCTACAAAATTCTCAAAATTCCTAATGATCTTCAAGCCTGCATGGCGTCCACTGAATCCCCACCTTTCACTTTTCTGCCGATTTCTCATTCATTTCTTCCCAAACCAAGAAAACCTGCAGACAAGAATCACTTTCAATCACAGCCCATCTCTTCAACAGTCTTACATGGAACTATCACAAGAATTCTACGAAGCCATGAAAGCGTGTGGATCTCTAAAATCGATATCCGTTGCCAGAAAACGCCATGCCCAACTTGTTTATCTGGGATTGGAAGCTTCCGTTTTCCTCCAAAATCATCTCATGAAAATGTACTTCGACTGTGGCTTGATTGATGATGCTTGTCGAGTTTTTGGTGAAATCAAGTTTCCTAATGTTTTTAGTTGCAATACAATGATTAGTGGGTTGGTTAGTTCGGGTCGTATTGAGGAAGCAGAGAGGCTGTTCGAAGAAATTCCCGAGAGGGACTCTGTTTCTTGGAATTCGATAATGTCGGGTTATTTCCATAATGGGGAACCTGAAAATACCATAAAGCTATTTGTTTCGATGGTAAGAGATGGAAATTGTACTCCTGATGAGTTCTCCTTCTGTTGTGCAATGAAGGCTTGTGGTTGTCTTGGGTATGTCAAGTTTGCGCTTCAAATCCACGGCCTTGCCACGAAATTTGGTTTCGAAAATCGTGATTCTTTTGGTGCTTCGACAATTGATATGTATATCAAGTGTGATGCTGTGAGTTTGGCGGAGCGAGTGTTCTTCAGGATGCAGAACCCAAGTTTGTTTTGTTGGAACAGTATGATTCATGGTTATTCTAAATCACATGGAGTTGAGAAGGCTGTTGATATATTCAACCGAATGCCCGAGCGTGATTCCGTTTCTTGGAACACGGTGATTTCGATCTTGTGTCAACATGGTTTCGGGGATGAGTCTCTCAGTTTGTTTGTTGAGATGTGTAATCATGGTTTTAGACCCAACTCCATGACATATGCCAGTGTTCTTAGCGCATGCGCAAGCATATTTGACCTGGAATGGGGTACCCACTTGCATGCACGAATTGTCCGAATGGGGCCAGGTTATAATTTGTTTATAGGCAGTGGATTGATTGATATGTATGCCAAATGTGGACGTTTAGAATTTGCACGCCGGGTATTTGACAGCTTAACAGAACACAATGCAGTTTTCCTGGACTTCTTTAATTTCTGGAGTTGCACGGGTTGGATTTGACGAAGAAGCTTTGGCATTGTTTAACCAAATGAGAAATTTTCATGTTCCTTTGGATGAGTTTACTCTTGCCACAGTTCTTTGGGTTTGTTCAAATCAAAAGTATATTTCTGCGGGGGCTCAGCTCCATTCATTAACCATTAAGAATGGAATGGATTCCTCTGTTCCTGTTGGTAATGCTATCATTACCATGTATGCAAAGTGTGGTCTTACTAAGACCGCATATAATGCTTTCAAGTTGATGCCAATAAGAGATATAATATCTTGGACGTCAATGATTGCTGCATTCTCTCAAAACGGTGACATTGGAAAAGCACGGGATTGTTTCAATAAAATGCCAAAGCGGAATGTTGTAACATGGAACTCAATGTTAAGTACATATATCCAGCATGGTTATCAGGAAGATGGTCTGAAATTGTACAGAATGATGCAGACGGAAGGGTTGAAGCCAGATTGGGTTACTTTTGCGTCTTCCACCAGTGCATGTGCAGATTTGGCAATATTAAAACTTGGGACTCAAATTGTGGCCCAATCAGAAAAATTGGGGCTTGCCTCTAATGTTTCAGTTGCAAATAGTGTTATTACTATGTATTCAAGATGTGGACACGTTGAAGAGGCACGGAAAGTGTTTGATTGTTTAAACACTAAGAATTTGATTTCTTGGAACTCATTGATGGCAGGATATGCTCAGAACGGTCATGGCAGGAAAGTAATTGAGATTTTTGATACCATGTTAATGATGGGTTTCACACCAGATCATATTAGTTATGTTTCTGTTCTATCAGGTTGCAGTCATTCAGGGCTCCTGGCTGAAGGTAAATATTACTTTAATTCCATGATTGAAGATTTTGGAATCTCCCCTTCATACGAGCATTATTCATCCATGGTTGATCTACTTGGCCGTGTCGGGTTACTAGAGCAGGCTAAGGATTTGATTGATGGGATGCGTTTCAAGCCAAATGCTGATGTATGGGGAGCTCTCCTTGGTGCTTGTCGTATCCACCGCAACTCGAAACTAGCAGAATATGCAATGAAGAATTTGCTCGAGTTGGATTTAGAAGACTCTGGAAGTTATGTTCTTCTGGCAAATATATATTCAGAATCTGGAAAGCTCGAAGATGTTGCAAATGTGAGGAAACTCATGAAAGAGAAAGGTATCCGGAAGAATCCTGGTTGCAGTTGGATAGAGGTTGATAACAGGGTGCATGTATTTACTGTGGATGACACAAACCATCCACAAATCCAAGCGATTTACAGAATGTTGGAGGAGATAGCTAAGAGAGTACGAGATAATGGAAGGTATATATCTGCTGAAGGTTTTGTTAATTCTCAGAGCTACCACAGTGAGAAACTTGCTATAGCTTTCGGGTTGATCAGTTTGCCTTCTTGGATGCCTATCCATGTATTTAAGAATCTTAGAGTTTGCCATGATTGCCATGTGGCAATAAAATTGATTTCCCTTGTCACTTCAAGGGAACTTATAGTTCGGGATGGTCACCGGTTTCATCATTTCAAGGATGGAGCATGCTCATGTGGAGATTATTGGTAATCCACGGCCTCCAAGGTTACTTCTTATATATTCATTAATTCATTCTTTTCAAATCCTTGTTGACTTGTAGATTTGACTGTTGTATCTAGAAAAATAATATAGTAATACATATAACACCAGATTTCCAATCTGGCAAAATGCAGTTGATTTTTAACGAATCTCTTTGTTCTGATAAACATAAGAATTTAATTAGAGTAATTTCTAGTTAATGTTTATTAAAAATATAAGAACTTTCTTGAGAAGAAATAACAAATATGAGAAATTTCATGTTAGTACAAAATATGCACATAATATTGACATTATGACAGATAATTTATGGTGCCAGTAATCAGTCAAAAGTTTGAATAATTCTAGTGAATGAAGAGAAATTGTGTTTTCTATTATGAACTCATATTACGGAATCTGACTAGACAATGATACTAGTAGCTTTGGCATGCTAAATTAGAACCATGCTCTTTTAGTGCCTGTGCTTTCTGCTTCCTCTACTCTCTAGATGAAAGTTATGATAAATATAAGAATCAAATGGAGCAGAGTGAATCTAATTCTTTTACTTTAGAAGCTTTACATCTGGGTTTCTGATTGGTTTGAGCCACATATCAGCCATCACCCTTGATGAAATGCTCCATAGCAGGTCCTGGCCCTTGGATGGCCCATGTTTTCCTTTCTTCCCTGCCTTTCCCAGTCCACATGCCACCAGCCATTGCATCGCAGTGAGCCTCTGCTTTTGAGTATCCCACATGTTCCTTTTTCTTCCTGTCTGTACCTTCAATCCCCCAACGTGCAGACTGGTTACCTTAAATCTCTTTTCCTCTTCATACTTGTCAATCTTGACATCAGCATGCGCTGCATGTATAATTGCTAAGAGAGGGCCTCCAACTCCTTCATATCGCCTTATTGGATCCCGCAACTGGACAATTACTGCAATTGTCAGTGTTGATGGGTCTCCTGGTACATCATCAGATGAAGTCAAGCCATAATTTTTAATCCACTCCTCCAGAGGAGTAGCAGAAGCCAGGGGCTGATCGGGATGTTTTCCACTCCCTGAACCTGTCATTAGGGGAGAGACATCAAAGGGAGCATCTTCCTCTGCCATATCTGCCTGGATTTTTAAGGCTTCAATTGCCATTGCCTCAATCTTCTGCATTGAAATTGCCAAAATTTCCTCTGCTGTCAACGGGTTTTCAGTCACATTCCAAAGTCCAGTTGAGATCCTCTCCTTTCTGCCAGAGTTCATTGCAGTTGCCATGGTTTTTACTGAAGCAATGGTACGAGCAGCACTAGAGCTGGCGCCTTCTTTGTTTCTTCCGTGGATGATGGCAGACGCAATTCCTTCAAAAGCTATCTGCTCTGCAGTTTTTCCTATCAGTTCATCTAAGGGCATCAAAGATACAATTTGAGAGCTAAGTTCTTCAAATCCGACAGCTGCCATCTTCTGAAATAGTTCGAACCCACTCATAGACTTATGTGATTGAAGCACCAATGGTTTTGATATTTGCATTGCTAACTTCGGAGTGTCTTTCCTTGCAACTAGAGTATCCAAAGGATTCATGGCAGCTAAGTAGCCTCCATCTCTTGTTTGGACCACGCACCCTATCCCCTTTCCAAGATCCGGCAGATACACTCTGGATTCTGTCTCTGTAGAATCCTCAGCTCCATCAAGCTGCAGAATGGGAATTTCAGGTTCACTGGGTTTGGATTTGTTACTCTCTTCATCCTCAAGCATTTGGAGAAATTCCCTAGTTACTGTTTCTTCCTCTGCATCTAGTCTGTGTGATCCAACTTCTTCCTCTGTTTTGACTGTTTTTTCTTCTGCCATCATAGATTCGAGAGCTTTTATCTGCTGAGCAATTGAATCCAGTTCTGTTAGCCTTGTTAGATGTACTTGATCTTGCACAATCTCCTTAACCACCTCACTTGACACTGACCTTCCCCCAACTGTGCCGTCTGAATCTTCTTCTGCAGCTGACTCCTTGTTTTGAATCTCAACTCCTTTATCCACTACGTCAAACTCAGGAAGTTCATCTTCCATCTTTAGCTCTGGTTCTTCTGACTTCTGAATGGGTAAAGTTGACGAAGAAACAGGGGTGGGCTCATCAAGATTCAAGTCATCAATACCTTGAAGATCCGCTGTTGCTCCAGTCTGTGAAGGAGTCCAAGCTTCACTACGGCTAGTCATCCTTGGACTAGGCACACTGAAGGACGTTTTGGATTGTTTACGGCCAAAAGAAGAAGAGAAATTTTTGTATTTACTCGACTTTGATCCCTCAGCTTGATTGTATATTCCAATACCTCCATCTTTCTCCATGGTCTGAAATCCCAACTTTACAAGAAGTTCTCCTCCTTTAGCTTTCCCTAATAGATTGAAACTCATGTCCCACTGCCGAACCCGAGTGCCTTCAAAGCTCTTCTCTATTGACTCCTGAATTAATTGGCTCAGATCCACAGAACTCCTGCCAAAGTCAAGCTCTTGAGCATCAACTGCAAACAAATAAATCAAAAATGGACGTGGCTCACACTTGAGTTGTTTTCCATTGCCAGGAGTGCAGTATACATGGCACTTAAGAAACAAGGTTTCTTCAAAATCAGCTGCACCCTGTGACACCCTTGAAGGCATGGTATTGACTGCACCATCCTTGGTTTCTTTCTTTCGAACACAGACAGACAGCCGGAGACCATTCATGGAGGCTGGGAGGCCCTGGGCAGCTACAACTTCAACTGAGAACAAGCAACTCAATTTTTGCATTCCAATGTGTGAAAGAGCTCTAATTGGCTTCCAATTCCAAATTCCTTTCTTTTCTCCCGAAGTGGCTTTGTCTTCGAACCTCTTCGTGTTTACTTGGTTGGATGTCCTACTTCCATCCTTCTGCTCATTCTCATCATCAAGCTTTGGCCGAGACCGCCAAGGGGACAAGGACATGCGCCTGGACCGGGGTCTGGTGCTGGGTCTCTCTTCAACTTTAGCCATGCCAGTTTCATCAACTGATGAGATTGATTGAACTGAAGTTCGAGGAAGAGCGAGAGAGGCAGTTCTTCTTGTAGTGGAAATATGAGACTGGTAAAGGGATTGACTGAGTGCTTCAAGTTCGTCCAGAAGCTTGGTATTGGAATTCCTACGGCCTGCATACTCTGCTGCCATTACTAAAGACAAGGGAAACTGGAGAAGAAGGTTTTAGCCACAGCTGGTGATGATACTGAGGTCAATTACTTGCAGGGAAATGGAAGAAAATAGAAGATAAGGAGTTGCAGATAGTACAGAGAATTCTTCTTCCTTTCTTTTTTGCGGTGGAAAAACTGCCATACAAAAATGATTATGATGGTTGTAATGACTGGTTCAAACACCAGGAAACTTGTAGGTGTATAATGTGTGAAGGATAAGATGAGAACGTAGAGCCCTCTTTCTGTTTCTAAAAAAAAGACAGGGATTGAATTTGAGAAGAAACTGCTGGTCCCAGGAAATTTATTGTGTGTTTTTGGTGGGTTATACGGCTATATTTATTCCCACGAAGCTCCTATATATTGTCTTCATACTTTTCTTTTTTTTTTTTCTTTAAGACATATCCATGGTTGTTTCTTGGCTTTACTGTGAAAACCGGCAAGGGTAGGCTTACCTTTTTAAGCAGATGTTTGCCTTTTTGCCATGGGTGTAAGAACTGTAACTTGTATTCTTGACTTTGATAGGGATGGAATTTAATTGTGTCATATTTTACCCGTGTTCTACCCTGAAAAATAAAATAGTATCAATTTATATTATATTACATTTTCAATTTTAGTTAAAATAAAATTTAGAATAAATTATGATTTAATATCTTATCTGTTTGAAATTATTAACATGTATTTATTTTTAATAATTACATAAAACTGTTAATTTAAACATACAAACAGTGTGAAGCTATAGAAATTTAATATGTGAACAATTCATATTAAATAATTTAACCCACAAACCAACACAAAGGGATCGCTCGCCTACTTCGGCAGGAGGAAATCTCCTTGTTGAATTCTTCATTCCTTCAGCATGAACTGTGAAGGTCTAATGAAGTTTATCAAACTTATAAATACTGTTTATTAAAGACAAGCAGTGAAGTCTCAGTTTTACATGATACATAATTACATATGGTAGGCATCAGAAAGGCAGATCCTGTCTTCTTATTTAAAATGCAAATGCCTACTTTCACCATACAAAAGTGTTGATTAACCCACAATTTCAACAGGCTGAAATCCGCGCTGAATTGACGCCATCACCGCGTCAATCACCTGTTGGTTCTTCCTACTAATTGTTGGCCACTTCTTGTCAGGCTTTGCACCATTCCTTTTGATCTCTCCAACAAGGCGAGCAAACTCTCTCACCATACAAGCTTCTTGGGGGATACCTGTGGGAACAATGTGCTCACTTGGAACTGATAACCATCCTGTGACTAGCTCATTAAAACCACCTTTTGAATTTGTCTTAAAACTGGCCTCCCGCTCTTGAAAAGGAATGATGAAATCATGGATATGAAGAGTTCCCTTTGTCCCTATCATAGTAACATCCATTGTCAAGTTTCCCAGGAATGAGCAATAGAAGGTTGCTGCTTTCCCATCTTCCCAATGTAGAGATGCCCCACAAGAAAGAACTACACCAGCATCATTGAAAACAGGCTCCCGCAAGGCAACAACAGTTTTAGGTAGTTCGTAGTTAGCTGCAAATAGGATTGATCTGATACAGTACCATCCAGCATCCCCAAGAGCACCAAGACCATCGAGATCTGGCTTAACACGAACATCATTCTTGAGAAAATCGGGATCAGCAGAAAATGTGAAGTAGCTGTGTATCTGTGGGATCCAAAAGGAGAAATCATTAGGTAATGACGGAAACTAAAAATTTGAATAGAAACAATGCAAAGGTTAAGAATCCACATTCAAACACATGCCATGTAACAATAATCCTGAACCTCTACTAGAGGATAGTTTGATTAATACATCGCTGGCAACAGAGGAAGAAAAGAAAAGAAAAGAAATATGCATGGATGTCCTAATCCATTGCAAGCTTCTCGTTGTACTTAATTTGTCCACATGTTGCATACAGAATTCAGTATCAAGCAAAGAAGCATTAGACCTTAATTATTTAGAATTTAATTATAATTTCATTTTTTGATTCGCGATGAACCACCTCTACACAATAATTAATTCCATAAGGATAAATTTCCATGTGCTTATCAAGGTATAATTCGTTCATAAGTCTCTCTAACTTAACTTGAACACGGATCTAAAGTATTACCTTCACTTAACTATTTATTTTATCTACGGATTCTTATTCTAAAACTGTTTTTGAGCTGCATCTTCATAATTAGTATATTTCAACAGTTTAAATTTAAGAATCGAGTAGCAGCGGAAGTTTCTTGGGGAAGTAAACTGGATAGAATCACATTCAAACTCTTCAGTGTAGGTCCCAAAGAAAACCCAGTGAGTCTTAACCCAAACCCAGAATTCAAGCCTAGGTCAGAACCAGAAGAACTGACCCCAAACTGTAATTACCAAAATCATGGGAATTTTTCAAAAGAACAAAAATAACTCGGTTTTAACCCAAAAAGAAAAACTCTAACGAATCAAACCAAAACTTAAAAGAGTTTAAGTAATAACAAGAGAAATGTAGGAAAACGGAGAAAGAGAGAGAGAAAGAGAGAGTATTATTATGAATTTTTAATTTCCATTTGGACTCCACACCAAACCCCAAGTAAACAAAAGTCGAGACAGCTAAAGCTTGAAGCAGGGAAATAATAAAAAACATTAAAATGCATGCAAGTATTAAAGAATTCAGTATTAATGTGGGTATATAATACCGTCTTGAGCTGCCCAAAACATTCCGGATCAGAGAGGAACTCCTTCATCTTCTGCGTCCGGGGATGATGCATCCACATGGTACCGTCCATAATCTGAACGCCATTAGCGTCGCAGGCCTCGAGAATCGTGTCAAAGTCTGCGACGTTGAGCGCAACCGGCTTCTCAAGCAACAAATGCTTACCCTTCTGAGCGATCGCCACTGCCCACTGCACGTGGAAACCCGTGGGGAGGGGGCAGTAGATGGCGTCGATGTTGGGGTCTTCAAGGAGGGCCTCGTAGGAGCCGTAGATCTTGGCTTCAGCCGGGAAGCAGTTGGCTCGCGCGAAGGCTGTGGCCTTCTCGATGGAGCGGCTGGCAACGGCTGCCAGCGTTGCGTTAGGCGCCAAGGTGACGGCACGCGAGACCTTTCGCGCTATTTCTGCACAGCCCATTATGCCGATTCGGATCGGATTTTCGGCGGCCATGGGGAGTTTCCCGTGGGCGAGAGCGCGAGAGAGTTGAGAGAGCGAGTGAAGGAGAAGCAGTAGAAAACACACCTTTGGACAGAATGCAATAACCAATTTATGTCACTTTATTTATAAATTTTTTATTTTAAATTATGTTTATAATAATTTAAAATTTATGTGAAATTTAATTACGTTTATTTAATTTAAAAATAGTAATAAAACTCTTCCAAATAAAAAAAACTAAGTGCATATATAATTTATTAGATAATTAAAACAGAAAATTCTAATTTTTGTCTAAAATTCTGAAGTGCATTATTTCAATTACACAATTACACGTAACATTATATATATATATATATATACTCTGTTCTTTTTCCTCATCCTAATATATTTATGCACTCTAATAATTAACATGATTATTGTTTATAATTAAATTCAAAATTATTTAAATATAGTCTTAAATTATTTAATAATTAATTTTAATAAAAAATAGCATTATTATCATTAATAACACTACGGGCAAAATTGATTAAAGTTGTTGTACTCAATTGCCTCACGAATTATTAATTTTTTTTTTTTTTTACTTTATAATTTTTCAATTCCAAAATAAGTAAATTCAATAAAAAAAAATCCATTTATTCTGATACTTAAACTAATCCATTTATAGAATATCTAAAAATTCTTAAGATTTATTCCAAATAATTTTTTTTAATTATTACTCAGCTTTTAATTATTTTATTAAAATTTATAATTTCTCTTAATTAATTTAAATGTTAATTTTATAATTTTATAATTTGTTATAAAAATAATCATAATTTTCAGCTTGGAGACTTTAGAAACTTATCTACATTCACTCAACATGGCAGCCACGTGGCGGCATCAGGTAAAGACTTTCTTCGAGAAGATGCCAGCTCGTGCTTTGAAAATCTGCCACGTGGCACCCCAACGAAATTGGATAAGTCAAGCATATCCGTCCTCTTCCAGCATACTCATTCTCTGAATCTCTGCGCGCTGAAAAAAACGAAGAACACTATTTTAAAATATATACGAGTGGGAACTGTATGTATAATATATAATTGTTGCCTCTGTTATTATAATCTACCAGCATGGAGAAGAAATGAAAACGAGTACGGTCGGGTGCGCAGTAGGATTGTGCGCCTTCGTGTCGCAAGGCTTCAGATTTTTCACGACGTTACTCTGTAAGCTCCACGGATCCGTTAATGGCGGCAGCTCGGAGGGCAGAGCTGGATATGTAAATGAACTTCGAGGTGCTTTCACAACATCAACCGACTGTTTTCTTGTGCCGAGACTTGGTTGATATATTGTTTAATTGATTAAATAACATAAAAAAAAAAACAAAGCACTCAACGAACCCTAGTATAGAGCAGAGCATAAGTTAATGACATGGAAGAGAAGAAATCAGCACAACTGGATAATCAAGCATCAAAACTCGATATCATGATATGTAATTTAAAATTTTAAAAGGTTCGTAAATATGTCATTAGAACTCGATGTTCTTTACCAGAAAAAGAAAAAAAAATTGTAAAATTTGTAAGGCCTAATTTCAATCTAATAGCATCATCACCTACAATATTTCTTTACTAGCTGACTGCCGGTGTTGCCAAATATAAATCATTGCAGATGATCACCGACGGAAAGAGACGAAGACTCTGGAACTCCGACGGCGACTGCAAACGCAAGATAAGACTGGAGATAGAGCGAAATAGTGTAAATCTGAGAGAGAAAGTATAAGGACACCTGATATTCGTGTGAATGTAGTAAGTCACAATCTTACATGATATATACTTACATATAGTGGGAATCAGAAAGACATATGTTTATCTTCTTTATTTAGAATGCAAATGCTTACTTTCACCATACAAAAGTATCGATTAATTCACGATTTCAACAGGCTGAAATCCGTGCTGAATTGACGCCATGACTGCATCAATCACTTGTTGCGTCTTCCTACTAATTGTTGGCCACTTTTTGTCAGGCTTTGCACCATTTCTTTTGATCTCTCCAACTCGGCGAGCAAACTCTCTCACCATACAACCTTCTTGGGGGATATCCGTGGGAACAGTGCACTCGCTTTGAACTGATACCCATCCGGTCGCTAGCTCATTAAAACCAGCTTTTGTATTTGTCTGAAAACTGGCCTCCTGCTCCTGAAAAGGAATGATGAAATCATGGATATGAAGAGTTCCTTTGGTCCCTATTGCAGTAACATCCGTTGTCAAGTTTCCCAAAAAGGAGCAATGGAAGGTTGCTACTTTCCCATCTTCCCAACGTAGAGATGCCCCACAAGATATAACCACGCCAGCATCATTAAAAATAGGCTCCCGCAAGGCAACAACAGTTTTAGGTAGTTCGTAGTTAGCTGCAAATAGGATTGATCTGATGCAGTACCATCCAGCATCCCCAAGAGCACCAAGCCCATCGAGATCTGGCTTGACACGAACGTCATTCTTGAGAAAATCCGGATCAGCACAAAACGTTAAGTAGCTATGCATCTGTGGGGTCAAAAAGGAAAACTCTTTAGATAATGACAGACGCTAAAGGATTGAATAAATGTTTTTATGTGCAACTTAGATATGGCAAACTCAGAGCTTCTTCCTTATGTAACCAATTACACTTTCCCTTGATTCAAGAGATAACTACAGTTCCAAAAAACCTATGAACCACTTTTATGAGTTTGAGCAGTTTGCTAGACTTAACATTCAATGAAAATGTATATATCATCAGTCTTGTATAGTGATTAAAAACCACTTTCGGTTTACACAATCGTTTTAGAGGAAAATGAGGTTTAACCATTATTTGTTTTCGGAACAGCTGTGTTCACTTCTCATAGATAATTGAAGAATAGGGATAGGTTGGCAGTTCAATTTCTCCATAAGTGGATAGGTTAATTGTCTACCGAGGGGAATGCAAAAGAAGCTTTATAACAAACTCACATCCCTCTTTATTTTATCACCGCACCTAAGTACTTAGCGAAAATAGTTTCACCCGAACCTCTACTAGAGTATAGTTTAGCTAATAAGTAGTTGCCAACAGAGGAAGATGTGAAAAGAAATATCCAATGGCATTCCATATTCATTCAAGCTTCTCTTTACACTTTATTGTTCACATGTTGCATAAAGAAATCAGAATTAAAGCAAAGAAAACGTCTTGAGGCATAGGTGAGAATGTAAAAGTAAACAGTTATACCGACAATACGATCACTCATGTACCTCAAGTTGAAATCTTGTGGAGATAAATAAAATGCAGATTTCTGTAAGCAGATATTTCAGTATCCCATACAGATATGTAAGGAAACATGTATGGTTCTGGAAAAAACCATTTAAGCATGCTTGAACAATTCAGGAATATTAAAAAAACGTCATAGAATTGCTGAAATCATTAGTTGCATTGTTCTTCTTAGGGATGGCACTGGAAAAGGTTTCCCCTGAAAGCTAAGTTATTGTCAAAAGAGAAATTATTAAAAGACTGGCTCTAGAAGAAAGCAATAAACAAATGCTACATGTAATCCAATGGGGTGGCCTGTCAAACCCAAATTGTCAATATTAAAACCAGGGATTTTTCAAAAGAGAGAAAATCACTGAGTTTTAACCAGAAAAAAAGACTTTCACGAATCAAACCCCAAATTCAGCAAGTTTTAACAGTGAACAGAGAAATGAAGGTAAACCAAGGAAGAAGAGTAGTATTATGAATTTTTAATTCCTATTTGGACTCCACACCAAACTCTACTAAACAAAAGTCAAGGCAACTAAAGCTTGAAACACTATAATGCATGTAACTACTAAAAAATTCAGTATTTATGTGGGTATATAATACCGTCTTGAGCTGGCCAAACCGCTCTGAATCAGAGAGGAACTCCATCATCTTCTGCGTCCGGGGATGATGCACCCACATGGTACCGTCCATAATCTGGACGCCATTAGCGTCGCATGCCTCGAGAATCGTGTCGAAGTCCGCGACGTTGAGCGCAACCGGCTTCTCGAGCAACAAATGCTTACCCTTCTGAGCGATCGCCACGGCCCACCGCACGTGGAGACTCGTGGGGAGGGGGCAGTATATGGCGTCGATATTGGGATCTTCGAGGAGGGCCTCGTAGGAGCCGTAGATCTTGGCTTCAGCCGGGAAGCAGTTGGCTCGCGCGAAGGCCGTGGCTTTTTCTACGGAGCGGCTGGCGACGGCTGCGAGCGTGGCATTGGGCGCCAAAGTGATGGCGCGAGAGACCTTTCGCGCTATTTCTGCGCAGCCCATTATGCCAATTCGGATTGGATTTTCGGCGGCCATGATGAGTTTCCTTTGGACGAGAGACTGAACGTGGAAGCAGTAGAAAACAGCTTTGGATGAAGATTGCAACAAACAATTGATACTTGGCCATTTAAAGGAAGTAACTTGTGTACTACAACACCACAAACCAGGCAGCCAAATTTGAAATCTTGGAAGCGGCAGCCATGAAGGCGGAAGAAGACGACACCGAGGAACCCAATTCTGATGGTGAAGATTGCAATAACCAATTGGTATTTGGCCCTCTTGAAGCCAGGCGACATCAACTTGTGTACTAAAGTCTGACAACACCAGAAGCCAGCAGCCAAATTTGAAATCTTGGAAGTGGCAGCCATGGAGGCGGAAGCAGCCGACGCCGACTCCAAGGAACTCAATCCTGGTGGTGAAGCTCAAGTTGAGAAGAACCCACGGGACACTCAATGAGGTGTGAGCTTCTAATTCTCTGGTTTTTTTAACTATACCGTGTACTATAATATGTGGATTTGCATCCAAGGTTACTTCTGTTAACTTCATTAACAGAAGTAATTAGAGTTTATAAGCCAGATATTTTATCATTTTAGAGCACATGGTTTCTGGAATTAAGGCGCATTTAGTTATTATGAGATGGTATTTGAATCTTATGGAGAGAATATGTAGAGTTGCAGAATCGTCAACTTATACATTTAAAATTAAAACTGTCTATGTTCCGCACTTCTTTAACTACTATTCATGCAAGTCCAAGAGAAACTAAACGTTGGTTCCTATGAGAAATTACCAAAGAGATACTAATAATACGTGGATATTAGTGGATCAATTTGAAGGATTTAACCTGCACAAATTAGGTTAGAAACTTTTAAACTTAGATCAATAACTAGGGTATTATTAATTAGGAGTTTAAAGAATCCGTTTAACTTTTAAAAACGAAGAAGTAAAAGTTAGACCGGACAAAGCTTTTCTTAATATATAAGAAGACTATGCGTTTTTTAATGAAATAGTTATCTATTTAATTATATATTACTCTGATTATTCTTCTATTTAAATAAATTTTTACGTGCATGATCTTGATATTATAAATTTTTTTAAATGAATAGTTAGAATTTAATACAAATAATTTTATGCAGCGAAATATACGATATATAATGATAATAAGACTCATTAATAACAATAAAGATAAGTTTGGAGCTAGGGAGTCAATTTTTTCGGAGATTCGAAGCATCATAAATGTTGTAAAATTATTTCAAAAATAAGAACGAAGAAATTTATTATTGAAATGGATTCTTTAGTTAGTTATTATCAAATAACGATATATAGTAGTTCAACTTAAAACTCTCGTACAACAATTACGACACTCTATTTTTACATATTCATAATAAAGAAAATATTAATATTAACAAGTTTGGATATACCCTTTGAATACCATCATTATTGATAGATTTAAGGTTGAACATTATTCAGTTTCGACCAAAAGATCGGACCAAATTGAATAATGTTTAATTCAATCTTCGATCTGATATTAAAATTTTTAAATCTATTTTGAATTAGATTGATTAATATTTTTATTATTAAAAATTAAAATAATAAATATATAAATAATATATATGTGTTTTATGTACATTATATAAATAAAATATTAAATATATAAATAATATATTTAAAAGATATTATTATTAGAAATCTCCGTATGAGGAAGGGATAATTTTGAGTCGTTGTATAAGATTACAAATAATAGAAACAGAGATTAGCACGCAAAGAAAATGGCAGGAACGCAAACGACGTGGGCGGAAGAGATAATATATAAATGGACCACAAGAGAGCCGTTGGCTAACTTGCTTGAACCTTGCACGCTTTCGTCTCTGTCTCTCCTCTCCTCTCCTCTCCTCGTCTTCTTCACCGAGCTCTCAACTCCACTTATTTTGCAAACAGCAAATCAAGAAGAAGCACCTATTCTGTAATTTCCACTGCCAATATCTTCAACTGCTTTATCCATCAATGCCATTTCTCCTTCCGTCTCCACCAATTCCCTTCTTTCCCGCCAATCCCACACTCCTCAATTTCTCCTCCTCCAAAATAAAACTACGGCCGCCGCCGCTAATCAACTCCACTGCAATTCCTGCCGCGGCTCGCGATGTCGATATGTTCACCGAGAAATCTGGATACCTCTTCGAGTCCGTAGATGCGAAAGCCGACTCGTTAGCTGATTACGACATCTCCAAAATCGTCTCGGTTTACAGGAAGAAGCCTCTGATTTTGCTGCGCAGGCTAATTCAAATTGGAGTTACGTTTGGATCGTGGTTCGGCTCTCGGTACCTTGATCAAATCATGGAACGTTCTGATCAGATGTTTGAGGTTAGCTTATTTTGATTCAGGTTTAGACTATTGATTTATTTTATGGTCTTAATCTAGTTAACGTTTACAATACTTGACCTTCCATTTTCGTGTTCTATCTATGTATATATGTGCACAGGTAAGATACATATATGTAATTATGATTGTGGTTACTGCCGGTATAGTGATCTCAATGTTAATCATTTGCTAACTACCAGGAGAGTGGAAGGTGATTTACTTGCTGACAGGAAGGACCATAAGCAGAGTAGGCTCTTAGGATTTAAATTTAAAAAGCTAGGAGTAACATGCATTCTTTGTTTGGTGTTGATATTTGGTTTGGTAGCTCATCTGATGATTGGTTGCATTTTGCTCCTTAGCTACTTGGCACTCTCATATGTTTGTTTTTGGATTCAATTAATTTTTCTTAGCTTAGTTTGTAATATTTCTTTCGTAACCTATAATTTCTAGTTTCCTCTTCCTGATAATGGTTTTCTGGATAAGGTATGATTAACTCATGATGATTGTGTTTTTCTTGAAAAAGCTGAAAATTCATTACTAAGATTATTTGTATTTGGTAATCATGGGATTTGGTGTCAGTATGGATATTTTCTTAACATGTTCTCTTTTGCTTGTGTAGGTTAGAGCTGCTGAGGTTCGGAAAATATTGGTGGCACTTGGTCCGGTACATATCTGTACACACTAGGAGGTCTTTGAGTTTTCTTTTTTGGCGTCATTGCATTGAATTTATCTCCATCTCATAGACATCCGTGGATGTTAAAAGAAGCATGCACGCACAAGTTATGCCACTGACTGGGTTTGCTTGTCATCTCACAAGCTTTCATTGAGAAGCTGCATTTATGATTGTTTTTATTTATTTAAACATATAATGCTTTCATGCTGAAAATATCACTGAATGAGGTCTTTTCAGTTTGAGTTATTGGTTGCTTTCTCCTTTGAGTGAAGCTGTTAATATATTGCATCTCTACAATAGTTTCTCCTTGCTTTAGGGTGTTGTTTGTAATCTTATTTTGTTTCTTTCTGGATTTTAGGCATATATCAAAATTGCTCAGGCTGTATCATCTCGTCCGGTAAGTTATCATATCCTTGAGATTTGCTTCTCTTGTTCAGCTTTGTAGTCTACCTTCTTATATTATAAAGTTTATTGCCTCATTGGATTACCTTTTTGCTTTTAAGTTGCACAGGAAAATGAAAAAGAAGTTAATTATCATGTGGATTGTATCAGTTGCACTTTCAAGGGTATCCATAATTAATTGCATCAAAACTTTCTGCTGTGCATCAAATGCGTTGGGATTGATGGAGAAACCATTTTAGTATCATAATATATAATGCAGCTATGAAAGGTTCCCGTGCGACTTCAGTGGATAAAATATTTGCGCTGGATAAACATAATAAAATGCACTTGATAAAGTAACCCCCGAATATTATAAGCTTGACTATAACAAGGCTAGACTTGATTTAAGAATTCTCTTAGCCAAATTTAAGCCTTAGCTTAATTTTGGGTACTTCTAAAATTTAGCATGTTCCAGTCTAGAAAGATGAGATGGTAACTATGATCTGTATTCAGCATCAGCATACGAAGTATCTGCACTGGACAAACATATGGACTATTGCGATACAATGTACTTGGACTATGTTGGAAATTATTTATGTTACCATGTCAAGGATGAAAGATAGCAAAATATTTGTTCCTCATTAGTTAATTCCCCCAGTTATGTCCTAAGCTACCTTATAACCTAGGCCAGGCGTGATTGTAAGAGGTCTTCAGCATTCTATGTTGGGACATGTTAAAGAGTGAAAGATTCCAAAATTCATCTAGGACTTAAATTTCTCTAAGAGACTGGTCAATTTTGATTCAATAAAGAAATTAATGGAGGCAGGACTACGGCCTTTTCTCTTTGTATTGGTATTTAATAAAGTCATCAGGTAGCTGTAGTTTTCACTGCTGTCCTAAAACTGCTAACATCCCCATGCATAAGCTTAGAGTTCTTGTTTAGGCTGCTCCTTGAAGCATATATAGATGTTGACTATGCAGGTTTATTAGTCGACAGAAGATCTACATCTAGATACTGCATATTCCTTATAGGAAATTTAGTGACTGGATAAGTAAGAAGCAAAATGTAGTATCCGGATCCAATGTCGAATTAGAGTTTAGGTATACGGTTCAATATGACAAGACGAAACATATTGAAGTTACTCAATACTCTGGATAGCGGATTGATATGCACACCATACATGCCCCATTACTTTGAAGCTTGCAGATATATTGAACAAGGGATTGAGTAATCTCGGATTTCAAACAATTATTGACAAGTTGAGAATGGATAATATGTATTCGCCAGCTTGAAGGTGATGTTGGGAAGTGTATTTATATGGAAAGTAGGGTTAATGGTATATTAGTAATATAACCTTGGAATCTTTGTAATTAATTTGGTTTTCTTGTATAATTACTAAGAACTTATATATAGAGGTTCTTAGTAATCAATAAAGTATATAACAATTCATTCTTCCACGATATGAACACGATTTTATTCTATTGTTTATGTTTAGGATTTGATATCACAATCATATTTGGACGAACTCTCCTTGTTGCAAGATCGAATAACCCCATTCTCCACTGAAGTTGCTTTCAATTTGATAGAACAAGAACTTGGACTGCCAATAGATGCAATTTTCTCTGAGATTTCACCAGAGCCTGTTGCTGCAGCATCCCTTGGACAGGTATGTACTTGGTTGCATCTATGCAGCGAATTATCTATGGTTCATTTATGTGGCTACTTCAATGTTTTTTTTGTTTCAACAAATGAATTAAAAAATTCAATATGATATGCTTTTTTCCCACTATTGTTCCACCTCTCAATTCATGCCTAGGTTTATCAAGCTCGGCTCCGTTGTGATGGGCGACTTGTTGCCGTGAAAGTGCAAAGGCCAGGAGTACGAGCTGCAATTTCTTTAGATATACTAATCTTGCGTTTCCTAGCAGGGGTGATTAAACAAGCTGGAAAATTTAACTCTGATCTTCAGGTAATATTGCAGTATGTTCTTAGGCCATATTTTTAGTACAATTTTAAAAAATGAAAAATATGTTGGGAGAGACTCTTTTTTAGACTGAATGAAGAAATTGTATGATGATGGCAACATTTTAGCTCATGGTAACCTTGGAACATGACTTCCAAATTGCAGGCAGTTGTTGATGAGTGGGCATCAAGTCTTTTTCGGGTATGCATTGATCTATTCATTGTTCATTCCAAATTGAGATGTTTACAATATGAACACTCATAAGAAGATATTACCTGTTAAGCATGCGGGAGACTTTTTCTCTAAAATAAAGTACGGAGATAATTTTATCCGACTATGATGGCTCCAACAGACTTTAGTGACTTGGGCATTATATGTTTATATATATATATATATATGTAAATAGGTAAGGAACAAAGAAAAGAAGAGAGGAAAGTGATTAGCTGGAATTGGCCACTTCAAATTGGTTTTCTTTCTTTACTTTCTTGAAAGTCTTTTTCCTCTATTTTTTTTCACTATGAGAAAGATAATCAAGAAGTGTGAACGTCTATTTTACACTTTCTTCTCTGTTCAAAATTCAATGCATAGGATAGTTATAAAATTTGTCAAATACTTCATTTGTAGATCTTGTTGATTTGAGGAATATTCTTAGAGCTTCATATTGAATACAGGTAAATCACATTGAATGCAGGAGATGGACTATGTGAACGAGGCAAAGAACGGACTAAAGTTTAGGTAAGAAGTCCGTGACTGTTTTAGGTAAGGACACTGTTTTCAATTGGTTCAACGGATTGATAATGTGTGTATATATATATATATATATGAAACTTTTAAATCTGATGTGGTTTGGATTGTCAAAAAATGATTGCATTTGACAATTTATTGTTAATCCTTTGGCAACTGACTTCTTGATTATTTTGTAGCAACCTACATATTTTGCACCCAGATTTTATTCTGTGGTTCAGTTGTCAACTTAGTTATGTGTATAAGAGTTTACAAACTATAAACATCTAGTCACCAGAAGCCTCTGGCTTAGAAGGTTCTACCTTCAGGTTACTGAAGTAGCTAGCACTTTTATACGAATCTTTTGACGCACCCTAGACTCAAGCATGGCTAACCACTGACTCTACCTACTTAAAAAAAAAGCTATAAAAAGGTAGTCAATGCAGCAAAAAATTCTAAAATTTGACTGTCTTTCAGCAGGCTTTACATCATTTATTTTTCCTCGTAGTTGAATGTTTTAAGTTTTTTCCTCTTGATTCAACTGCTAACTTCTGTGACAAACTCTATTTTATTGAAAGAATAAATTTTATACGGATTCTTCATGTTCTAACTGTGGTGTTCTACATGCTTTAATAGGCAGCTCTATGGTAGCATACAGGATGTTGTGGTTCCAGAAATGTATATGGAGCACACAACTCGTAGAGTTCTTGTAATGGAATGGGTTGAGGTACTCACTGTTTTTTCCTTGCTCTTGGAAGAAAGTTCTAGTCATGAGGAAAATAACTGCACAACTCAATTAGACATCAAATTTCTATGCAATTCGTTCTAACTTTAGAAAATATTCTGCAGTTCATGTTTAGTAGCTGGACTTTGTCATTCTTTGGAAAATATCCTGACAGTTTTATGTTTAGTAAATTTTTTGCTGACGATCTTTTCATGGTAACCCAGGGACAAAAGTTGTCAGAAGTGAAGGATCTCTACTTAGTTGAGGTTGTGTGAAGCTGATTGCAAATTTGCAGTTCATTAAATATTTAACCGATCTTTTATTTCTTTCCAACTAGTCTAGATGATTAATTGGTGTTCTTGCTACCAAACAGGTAGGTGTTTACTGCTCATTTAATCAGCTTCTAGAGTATGGATTCTATCACGCTGATCCACACCCAGGAAATCTTCTTCGTACATACGAGGGGAAACTTGCTTACCTCGGTACTTTTCCTTTCTGTTATTTTAGGTCGATCTCAATTTAATTTCTAAGAAAAAGAACTATGATTAATGAAAAAGAAAAAAAAGTACAAGAGAGAAGGCATGAAACCCTTAAGAAATGGAAACAAGATTATAGAAAGAAAGATAGCAGCAGAAAGGATGTCTCTAAATCCTAGACCAAAACAATAGTAGAAGTGGCCATTAGATTACTGTTCTTTTAGTGGTCAGGTACTTCAATACATTTTTAACGAAAAAATGCATAGTGTCTGAATGGCCAGAAAAAAGTGCTAAAAACTTATAATCTTTTAGTCCAAAATAAAAAGCTCCTGGGATTAGCTTTTTTTTTTTTTTAATAACTTTAAGTCAAAAGAGCTTTTAACCCCTTTAACTATTATCTTGGTCAAAATTAAAGTTACAATCCTGCAATTACTTAGTTAATAACTTCAATTATCTTTTTAAAATAAACATAATTAATGTTACACAAAAATTAAGAAAATATCTCAGATAGTAAAAAAATTAAATTTTATGTTACTAACTTTATTTGATATTATTTTTAGATATCTTTGGTATAAAATACACTTAGATAATTTTAAAAGCAATTAATTGTTCTCTTTGTTATTTTACTAAAGTTTCAGTTTAAAAGCTAAAGCTCATGATTTTACCAAACACTTGATAGTTGTTTAGAGTGTAAAAGTTAATAAAATAAGTCAAATACTTTTGGGACATAAAACGCTACAGAAACTAAAAGCTATATAGACTAAAGCACAGAAGAAATAAATCATTCAAACGTGGGCCCCTTCTTTCTCAAAGTCAAGAAAGCCTACAAGGAAAACTCTCCCCCTAAGCACCATTTTTAAACGAAACTAACTTTCAGAACCTGAATCAAAGCCGATTAAAAACTTGTGTAGGGACAATGCACTATTTTTTTACCTCCATTTCCTTTGCGTCCATCATAGTTTACTGTACTTTCTAATCTCTATAGTACTTTTTCCACTTTCTTTTTCCTATTCTATTTTTTATAAAAAAAAAATTAACCTTTCATTTTTTGCCTAAAAGACTAACCAACTTTAACAACAAACAATCAAAAAAAGATTTTGGATCTTTATTTTCTTTTACAATGCCTAATGGAAAAATAGAAAAAACTTATTCCTTTGGGAGCCTGATCAGTACTTTTGATAAAAGAGTCATCCTCTCTATACTTCTTCTTTTCCAATGTTTAATAGCACATAGACCCTTGATCTTTTTATAAGGTTCATTCTCTCTATATTCATGAGGATTTAAGAGAACTGATTGATATTTTAACAGATTTGTAAAGCTTTGTGTACAGATTGCACTCTCTTGGTCGTTATATATATATTACACTAATTTTTACATTAAAAAGAACTTCCTTTGTACACTTGTGAGGATTTAAAAGACGTACTTGATGTTTTGAAAGATTTGTAAAGCATGTGGTCCTTATATAGTTCAAACTTTTAAATTAAAAGGAGAAAAAAACTTCTTCCTTTAGGATCGTCTCCCTCAATCCCATATAGTTCAACTCTTCCTACATCTAGGCGTGGGAGAATGTCTTCCTTAAGATCTACCATGGATGATGTTACAATGGCGGAAGTGGGGACAATTGTCCCTGCTGCAGTTCAAGAAATACTTATATTAACCTGATATTATCATTATTTTTTTAGTTTGTCCCCATAAAATTCGGTAAAAAATACAATAGTATGGATCCTAAGTAAACAATTATGTTAAAGGAAATAAAAAAATTAATTGATATCTTTTTCTACTAAAATTTAGTGATCAAATGTTAGTTTTTCGTTTTTTTCATTTTTCATTTTACAATTTTAATAACTTGAAAGCTTTCAACACATATATATCTTCTTGGTAATCTTGCCTCCACTAGAAAATTTTTTTGGTCTGTTCCTTCATGTAGTATCCAATAAATGAACATATCCTTGTCAATATCTTAAAGACTTGAACCAAAAATTATCTTACCCCTTTCATTTTGCTGCTTTTAAAGGTCCTTACTCCTTGTAATATATTATCTCCTTGCAGTTTTAAAATTTAACCTCCTGCATAAAGAAGAGGGATGAACACCAGGCTATACCATGGCTGGCTAGATCCTTTAATTTGAAATTTTTGTCAGGCAAAAGTAGGCTTTCTAGAATTGGAATCTTTATGTAAAAGTCTGTAATGCAATGAGATGACGGTACTGGATTACTCTCTCTGTGGCTTGATCTAATAAACAACATTTATATCTTGACGAATGAGGCATCAGTAGTGAACTTCATAAAGTGCAGGGTGCACAATTTCACCCTTTCTTTTAAGAGTAACAGTAGAAAGTCAACTCAGAAGCTTTTAGGTGTTAAAACAACTATATACTCTTCTATTTCTAGGGTGTATAACTCCAGAGGACATCCTAATTTTCCGAACACGTTTATGAAACATCTCAACGATTTATCATTTTCAATTAGTTCATGTTTGATTTCTTTAATGATTATTCTGTTTTAGTGTTCACCTTTACTGCTTATCAACATGATATCTCTTTGTTGCATTTTTCATAGATTTATCTGTTACGTGTAGTCAAAATCATGTTCCATATTAGTATTATAGCAGATGAATAATCTACAATGTCAGTAGAAGCTACAGTTCTTGCAAAATTAATCTTTAATATCTTTGACCACCAGATTTTGGCATGATGGGTGAATTTAAGCAAGAGTTCCGTGATGGATTTATTGAAGCTTGTCTACACCTTGTAAACCGTGATTTTAATGCCCTGGCTAAGGACTTTGTTACTCTGGGGTATTTTGTCTTCCATCTTCCTCGCTGATTATTGAAAAATCATTTTAATGATGTTTGCATTTGTCATGTTGATTTGACTGTTACTTCTTTAGGCTTCTTCCACCAACAGCAGAGAAGGAGGCTGTTTCAAAAGCTTTAACAGGTTTCTTCGTTCTCTAAAAATGAGCCTGTGGCTTCAGATAACTGTTTGCATAGCAGTTACATCCTTGGAGTTCTCTTAACTTGTTTTTGGGTCAACCTCTTTTTTCTCTGTAGATGTCTTCCAAAATGCTGTGTCCAAAGGAGTCCGGAATATAAGCTTCGGAGATCTTCTAGGCAATTTGGGAACTACCATGTAAAATGTTTCTTTCACATTTATAATTGTGCTTTTCATGTCTATCTACATGTGAAAATGCAGACCATTAAATAGAGTTTCTATCCTTGAGGGAAATATACAGGTTTTGAATACGACATAGAATGATCATAGAGTTTGACTAGTTTTTACACTAGCTGATAATTCCTAAAAATATAGGAAAGAATAGAGAGAAATCTTCGACAAATATATTGATGTTAAAACAGATCATGATAGAATAATTTCCAGGGTATTTTTAGATCCTTCAGGATTGGAAAGAGCCTAATTCTTGTAGATAATGGAAACAAATGAAAGCTAGTAGGGAATAGAGAATGTTCTAGCTGGAAATAATCTTAGTATCATAAAAGAAATAAACAGCATACTGTAGACTAGAAAAAAAGAAATGAGAATGCTAAACGAAAATCTAGGTTTTCTGCTACTGAATCTAAGAAAAACTGTAATGCTTTTCTGACCAAAATTTTGGTTCTACAGAAAAGCACTACAGTTGTTGCTTTACAGAATCTGCAGGATTCTGTCTGCATTAGTACAAGTGTCTTAAAAAATGTCTTGTCATTTTATTTTTAAAAGTTATCTATATGCATATGCATGCACTTGGATGTTCTCTTGTTCTATTTGGTATCAAGTAATATCGATTTATTTCTTCCCAGGTATAAGTTCAAATTTCGGATACCTCCATATTTTTCTCTTGTAATTCGGAGGTATTTTTCTCTGTCCTTAATGATCTTTCATAAATTATTTGTGGTCATATTGTTAAACTTGTAGTTCCAATTCAAACATATAACACCCAGAATATTTAAAAAACACTGCACTGTGAACTTCTCATCTTTTCCCGTGAACTAAAGCTATTTGAAATGGAATGTATTTTATTCTATAGGTTCATCTTATGAGAGAAAAATGCATTTTAGATTTTTGGCCTTTTGGTCTTCACTCTACATCAGAAAGAAAGCAGAAAATTTCCCTACATGATCTTCTAGGGAAACCATACATGAGAAAGCAAGTCAAAAAATGATGTTAATATCAAAATCTGTTTCATGAAAGTTCATCTATATTTCTTTCATTTTATTCTAATGAATCGTGGAAGGTTAGTCGATGATGTAAGAAAAATATTTGCTTAAAAATGAACAATCGAAGGTTGATATTGAATTCGTCTAGAACAAGCTAGAATTACATTACTCTAAAAACTCTTGTATTCAAATGGAAATAAAAGCTTTACCTTGAAACTTATCCCAAGAGTTTGTCCAATTAGCGTCTTCCATGTTCACTGACATGACTTTATTCAGTTGAATTCATTCCTGCTTCTATCTCTCAGCCTTGCTGTTTTGGAGGGAATTGCAATCAATTCTGATCCAAATTACAAAGTTCTGGGCAGCACATACCCTTGGATTGCAAGAAAAGTATTGACTAATGGCTCACCTCAACTTCAATCTTCTCTACAATCTCTTCTTTATAAGGTAATTCTGCAAATGTTTTCCCGTTTAAGGTTTGTCTTACTGTGATATATTCTGTAACTTTGTCAATATCATTTTCCTGATTCCTTCATTATATCTTGATAGGAAGGTGTTTTCAGAATTGATCGTCTTGAGTCTTTACTTACAGAGGTGAGCCTTTCTATTTTCTAATTAAAAAATTTAACAATCATTCTATTTGCACTATAATGGTGCTGCCTGTATAAAATCTTATTGTGTTGAATTTTACAATAAGTGATTGCTAATTTTATATTGATTTTTTTCTAGCTTTTTCACAAATTTATATAAAAGTGTGAGTACATCTCAGCTCAACTCTGGTTGAAAATACCATTTATAAGAAAAGATGCTTACCTTACTCAATATTCAAGGGACTGAAGATTAATGAAACTATATTTGCCCACACATTTAAGAACATGAAAATCCATTGCCTTAGTTTTACCATCATTATATTCTTTTTTGCCTTAATGCCTATTGATGTTCTCCAGTTGTAACTGAATGCATATCATATCATAAGCATATACATCCAAAACTGCTGTCAATTTGTAATTTTTTTTTCTTTTATTCATAAGCCACTGCCATTAGCTCCATTTATTTGAGACCCATAAAAAATTTTCGTGGCAGTCCCTTCGAGCGCGAACTGAGAGGTCCATGGATAAAAAGAAAGGGGAGGATGTTGATTCCCGATTGATTATCAAGCAAGTCCTTTCATTCACATTAACTGAGAAGGTGTTCTTAAAGTCTTCTCTGTGCTCTTGCAATTTTGTGGCCTTACCAAATTATGAGGACACTTTTTCTCAGTTCTAATTTTTAACATTCACAGGGTGCATTCATGAGGGAAATCCTTCTTCAAGAATTTGCAAAGGTAGGTCTTTTAGGAGCTTTATTATTCCTGTCTTGATGAATTTCCAGTGCCAAATAATAAACGAAAGGTAGAAGATTCACTAATCAATTACAGCTTAGAACACTGATTCTGTTGAGAAAGCTAATGTACAGTGTTTTTAACAACCAAAAATACACAATGATATGTTTTGCTGAATACCAACCTATAATGTGACCCCGCTGTGACACATTTGGTAAACCACCTGCAGCCAGAATGGGGAACTAGATTTAAATTGTGCTTTTCTTTAAGGATGAACATTTTGTTAAACTAATTATATGAGGTCGGAAATTGTTTTATAGACAACCCTATTCAATTGTATTGCTTATATGATGTAGGAAAAAGTCCTGTATGGCTTATATGATGTAGAAAAATGGCATCTACAGTCCTATGCTATCTTATGAACCACTTAATTATCCCAATCACATGTTGCAATCATATAAGGTTCTTGGTCATAATCTATCTGCAAATTAATGTAGGGTTTGGACGCACTTGGGTTAGCAACAGTAGACTTATTACCCTTTGTTGGTTCATTGTCACTGTCTTCAATGACTGAGGAAGACATGATCAACTTGAGAAACTTGTATCGCCTTATGTCATTATTGTCAGGATTGCAAAGAAATGAAAGATTCAATATGGTAAGAATTGATCCCTTATTACAATTATTTCTGGAGTATATGGTGTTATATGTCGTTTGTTTAGCATGTCTCTTTCTTCGAAACCTACCCATAATTTTAATATAGAAAATTTTGCAACTACATATCTTGTAATTTGTTATTAAGAGGAGGTGAGTGCGCAGGAGGAAGAAATAGGAAAAGTACTTTTGTTTGAAAATGAAGAAAGCAGGATTAGGGAGCCAACTGCTGACATGTACTGCTATCTATTAGAGTATCATTTATATATATATATATATGACCTGTATTGCTCTCTATTAGAGTATCATATATATGTATGTATTTTTCCGTTATCTCTGGTTTCAATCACCTATAGTTATCTTGCAACTGCAATCTACTACATGTGAAGGTCTAACATTTTTCCTCTGAATTCTTGTCCCAAAAAAAAAAAAGACATTACAATTCACCTGTGGCTTAAAAACTGGTGCTGATATCCTAGAACATCTCGTCAATTTGTCATTGACATGATAATGCACTGTTCTAATATTGACAGTAGTTTGATCCTGCACATGTTTTGGTTAGTTTCCTTGTTAAGCGTGGTGAGTCGACTTTTGCTTCAGATTATAATTACACTGATGTTTACTTTAGGATTAATTATATAAAAACACATCATATCTATTAGATTAGGTAACATATTTTACACTTTTGGTTACAATTTTTTTTATATATTTGTAATTTTTAGATCAATCTGATAGTCATTTTTTTTAAGACATAATAAAAATTGACTATCAACCTATTCTGTTAGATATATTAAGTTAGTTCCATTACTGATTTTCCAACAAATAATTATTTAGGAAACATTCTGAGTTTTTAATATGTATACTTATTTAATTAACATTTATAGGAAGAGTGAAAATTTATCCAATTTATTATTATTCTTTTAAATAAATGTGAAAAGTGTACTATTAATATGGATACTAAAAAAGTGTCTACCCATGTATAAAAGAATTTATATATTTTCTATTCAATTTATTACAGAAGTAGTTGGTGGTCTTAATTTAGTATATTTAAACTTTGTGAGTTCTGGAAAATTTAATAAAAAATGCAGATTCTAATTTTATGTATTGATATACTTATTACTATGATTATCTGCAATTTATTTTATTATTAGTATTCTGGTTCATTCCTAAAATCTTTCGTCTTTTTTCTCTTTTAAATCTTATATAATTGTCTTGTAAAACATTCGAAAAGTATTTGCCTGTGGAGTTGAGTAGCTACTTTCTTGAAAAATGAATAAACAGTTTAATTTGATTTTAATTTATGCTTAATCGATCTCTAAAATTAAAGTTACATTAGTCTTGATGTGTAAAAGGAAACTATAGTCTTAAAGCTTGAACTCTCTCCCTCCAACTCAAAAGTTAGTCTAATATTTGAAGCATACTTAATTACTAAAAATAAGGTGAAAAATTGAAGTATAAATAGGCTATTAGCTTATTTGTTGATTGCTATATTTCTCTTTTTCTGAACTTAACTATCTTTTAATCTTGTAGGACGTTAGAATGGCTAGATCATATGACAATCAGAAGAGACGCTCAGAGGAAGCACCAGCACCCCTCATTGTATATCAACTTGTATCTACACAAGACATTCTGCCTGTCCTTTCTGTCTTTCCTGAGGTAAGGACTAAAGTTTCTGAAATACATTCTGCCCGTCCTTTCTGTTTTTCTGATTTCCGAAGGTTGAACACCTTGAGGGCTTGCCCTAAGTTAAGGAGATAACCAGATATTAGTTCATAAGGCCTTCCCTCTGCCTCCTCGATCCCTCATCTTTATTTTTACATATTATAACCATTTTTTTATGGAAAAAGAAATATCGTAAACCATCCATCCATTAAGTAGGCGACAATAATTCTAATAAAAACATAAAGTTTATTTGTTATTTTTTTTCTCTAGGCAAGTTCTGCTTCTGCTTGAGTTCAGGATAGTTTCCTAGCCTCAGTTCAGGCAATAAGTTTGAGAATTGGGATATGGTTCTTGTCCATCTCACGCTTGAGCCAAGGTCTTCAATTGTATCCCAAGTGTCATTTTCCTGAGCCAAGTTGTGCTCGGTCTTGGGTCGAACAATTAAGATTGACAATAGAGAAGAAAGGTAATTCGTAATTGCCTGCCCCAAACATGTCTCAGATAAGGGTGAGTAAATACAGAAAAAGTACGAGTTGTTGGGGTGAGAATGGTAGATTTTTTCCATTTTTCTTTGCTTTATTATTTTTAGTGTAAAAAAGTTACCATATACTTTTTGTTTGATATTTTAATTTTGTAGTCTTACTTTAAAGTTATTTAAAATTAATTTGTAGATGATCCATATAATTAAATAAAAATTATACTTAAAATTAGATAGGGCAGGGGGAAGTGATAGGATAGGTAGTGGGATGGAGGATTGCTTGCGGGATGGGAGTGATTTTTTATCTTTCCACCTTGAGTATAGGTGGGACTGTGCAGTCCTCTTCTGCCCCATTGCCATCCTTACCAACCAACAGCGCAGCTGAATTTGAGATGTGCTCCATGCCAACTAGTGTCCGTGTCTAGGATTATTGCTTGCATTAGGTTTTGGATTATCGTGGGCTAGAGGTCAAGAAGTGTGTCTTTGATTGTAGGTGTAAAGTTGTGCCTAGACTGAGTTTTGGAGTGCCTTGGTTAAATCCGAGACTATATCTTGTATTGCATCATGCTTGGGTTTTAGATTGTGCTTTGATCGAGTTCTGCCAAGCTAGTCTATGACGGGAGTGAATGTGAGTTGTGCAAGGATTCGGCATACCGCACTGAGTCTAAGATTGTCTGTCAAGCTTGGTTGTACTTGGTAAGGATCCATAGACAATTGAGCCTGGGCTTGTGACCATAAATGGGTTAAGTTGGGTTGTTATTGAGGCTGAAACTGTTCATCAAAGTCAAGTTGGTTTATGCCAAAATATCTTTGAGGACTATCTTTTAGTATAAATTTTTGTCCTTAACTACAATATGAGAAAACTGTCTAGCCTTGTAATGGGATTGGAAAAATGTCCAATTCCATTAATGACTCAATTTGACATGTAGCATCTTATCGAGTTCAAGCACAAGCCATCCTAGTGTTCCTGTATATATGGCCCAATTTGTGACACTGTTGTAAACCTAGTTAGGATGGAGCGGTGCTAAAACTAACACTAGGCACCTAAGGCACCATCCTGAACTAGCTACAAACACGCTTGAATTGGGCACATTGTCAAACATGGCCCGCTTAACACCAGACTTAATCTTGAAAAGAATCCAAATTAAAGTCTTTGACATAGTTCAGGTCAGTTTCAAACTTGAACCTACCTATTAAGGACATATTTTCGTTATTGAACCTATAATGTGTTTGATCCGCACTTGGCAGCCTAAAGTAAGTTTATATATAATGAGACGTATTATTATTATATAAATAATATGATGGACCATTTTTTACAAAATTTAAGTTTTTGAGGAAATTGATTTAACTTTATTATTTAATAAAAGTAAATCAAGCATAGTTTTGAAATTGACATGAGACACATTCCCATGCTCTCTGGACATAGTACCAAATCCATGCTCAAGCACAAATTGACTTGACTAGGGACCCAGTTTGCCAAGCCGAAACATAACTTACCATAAGGTACGATGTTGAGCTTTGCCTGGAGCACAAGGCAAAATTGTACTCAAGGAACGGTTCCGAACCCAAGCCTAAGCATGACCGGACCCATCCCCACATGAGTTTGGCATAACCAGCCTATGACGCAAGTTTTCATTTGGGAAAGTTACAAAGGTTCCTGAGAAAAGAAAAAAAAAAGGAAGTGTCATTCTAATGAAGTATAAGAATATTTTTCTTTTAGATGAAATCTAGGATATGGTTGTATAAATTGCTTAATAGTCTTAATCTACAAATTTTATCTCACATCTTAGTATCTAAAAGTCAGACAGCGTCATCAGGGGTAGTAAAAAATTTCCCGACCCAACAAATCTGAACCAAACCATTGAAATTTGTTTTCAGTTTCTAACCAAAATCAAACAGGTGCTGGATGGTTTTTGTCGGTTTTTTTTTTTTAACCATACCGAGTGGGTTGTATTCGGGTTTGGAAGCAAAAATTTGTCCGAATCCAATCAGGTATTATATATAATTTATTATGTTTTTTTAATATATCGTATTTTATTTACTAAAATATAGTTTACTATATGTTATTAATGTACTTTAATATGTAATATATTGTTAACGTATAGATATAAAATATTTTAGTTTTATATATGGGGCAGAGGGAATCAATTTTAATCCAAAATTTTATTGGGTTGAACTACATGTCAATTTTGTAAACCTGTCTCCGATCAGGGGTGAATTCAAGTTATTTTATTTCATGGATTGATTAGGTTTGGATTTGGGCGAAATCCATCCGAATCCAACCCTTTATCATCCCTATTTACCATTATTTTAGTGTATAATTTTAGAAAATTTAAAAAACAAAAGTTGTAATTAATGCTAAATCTGCTAAAAATGTTACATAAATTGTAGCAAAATTGAGAGTAGTTAGTGCTTTCTCTCACTAATTAAAAGTAGATTAGTTTTTATGTAAGACTATATTTTGTCTATATTAAAGTTTCTATACCTTTTTTATCAACATCTTAAGAAAATAGGGACAAAATATTTTATTTGACATACCATGAACTGACTTGATATAACTATATAATTCGATGATATTTTGTCATTTTTATTATTGTCCTTGTGATTTGGGCGAAGGACTATTCTTAATTTTAGGACAACTATGGTACATCCTGATCAGGGCTAGAGGTAGGGGTATAGTCCCAAATCTGGGCCAGAGGAATTAGGATGACCTGACTCATGACAGTACTCTGGACCTGATTTGGCGCAAAGCAATTGCAAATCAGTATCACTATCCCAAATTAGAATCTGAAGTCACAATGTGACTTTTTTTTTTTTTTTTTTTGAAATAAGAAGTCACATTTGACTTAACTGTTGGTTACCATTGAAGTCGTTAAAAACAAGCCTTAAGTCCTTGTTGCCAATAACAAAAACCGACCTTGAGACTATAGAGTCAATATATATATATATATATAGCTGCACTGACTCATTTTGTAAGGGTACCATTTAATTCATTTCTATTTCTTCAAAGCTTTCTACATTGTGTTTGATCATGAATCCCATAAATCATGTGTATTGAAATAATTTAATTGCACGTGACAGCTCCCACCAGAAATGCAGCAGCAATTGGTTCAGTTGCCAGCTGATCTAGTTGGAAGGTTGATTTCCCGTGCTGCTGCTAGGACTATCCGCAGGATGTTCTTGTGAACATCCAATACAATCAACTTTTGGTATCTCCACAAATTTTTGATGGAACACAGCATATACAACATATTCATCTTGCATTTAAAGTTTCTTTTACTCAAGTTAAATTATCTTCTTATTAGAATTCTTAACCTAAGTGCGAAAAAAGGTAACTATAAGATGTTATTTTGTATTCTTAATTTTTTTCAATTGTACGACATTCAAAATACCCGAAAGGGAAACCATACAATTAGTGTGAAATTAGATTATTAGTTGTCTCCACAAACTACTATTTTTAAAAAACATAATTACTATCTGTGTTAAAAAAATCTAATGGTGGCCATAATTGAACCGCAGTATACTTGGAAATAACAGCGGAACTAGGATTTTGTCTTGAAGGTCATACTATATGCAATATATTGGTTCACAAAAGATGGTTGGAGTGTGGGATTGTACCACCATGCTACTAGTAAGTGAGCCGAGGTGCCGGTCTTCTAGTATCCTATGCTTTTTATGCCACGAAGATAGGTCTTTGAGCAACGTTTGATAACTTTGGTTTGGCCATTTGTATGTGCATGGTAAGCGGTAGGTAGAATTAAGCGGTAGAGTAATTCTACTAAATCTGCTCCCTATACCTGAAGTAGTTCTTAAAGTGCAAATGAAGATACAAAATGCTTGTTGGCAGGGCATGTAGTTGGAAAACATTGTTGAATTGAACTTTAAGCCATTGACTTGGCAGTGTCAGGATGCTTTAAAGCCATGAAATCGGCACGTTTTGTTCAATGGTGGTCACAGACTCTTATCTCTAGCATACTCCTGCTCTTCATTCTTTAGATTTCATTTCCAGTTTGTATTAAACTCAAAATGTTCCTTTACACACTTCAGCTTATATTTCCACATCATAGAATAGAAAAAAAGCGAGCAAAAGAAGAAATACAAACAAGACATATAGAGATCATTATCAGATACAGATATAGGCAAACATAGGAAGCATTTTGTGTCTCTGCGTTTTTTTTTTTTTTTTGGTATATCACAAGTATTTAATCAGAAAAAATATCAATACAATTAGAATTACAATAACGATGACAGATGACAACATGCACATACAAGAGCAACTGCCTTTGGTGCGCTTATTTAAAGACGTCAGGCTCGTCTGAACTTTCTGTTATAAAATAAATAAATAATATATTATCAATTGCAGCAAAATATATTCAATTAGAGTAGAATATATATTTAGATCAAACAATACAATTATGATGAGTTCAAATAATATCATATCAACATCACATATGCTCTCTTTATCCTTAAATTCTTTTTTAAGGATAAAGACACTACAAATCACAATGACAGTGTGTTAGAAGTTGCATAGATTTTCACTGATGTCAGCATTAAAAATCTGTTGATTTTTTTATTTAATAAATATTTACATATTCATCAATTTATTAATTTATAAATATTAATTATAAACACAATTTTTAAACGAAAATATACGAGAGTACAATTTAACTCGAACTCGCGACATCTTATAAAAAAAAAAAAGAACATATTAACTATTTAATTAAGTGACGGTTAATATTTCATAAATAATTTAACATTTATGATAGTCGAAGCGAACGGAAGATGTTAATTATTATTAGCGTTTAATTATTTATATACTGTAATACCGTAAGCGTAGCTGATATTATTTGCATGGTACTACACCAAATGCATCATTAACGACAATAGTTTTCATAATATTAAAGGGTCACAAATGAAATCAAAAAATCATGAAATTATATTCTTCCTTGCAAGGCAGTTCAACTACCATTCAAATAACAAATTTCTTCATTCCCCTCTCAGGGTAATTTTTTTCCGCAAGGGATGATATTCATGTAAAATATGCAACTCACCTGTAGGCGGGAATCTGTAGCATCCACATGTTGATCCAAGTCGTCCTGCAAAAGGAAAAAGGCTAGATTTAGAAAGGATTCAAGGAAGAAAATGTGGTGACCATCTATGGAATCTGTAACCATACAATAAGCCTATTGTGCAAGTCAAGCTCCTCATTTATTGCCAGAGCAATGTGCTTTGTGCTAATCACAGTATCCTCCAAATTCTGAAGCTCCCCATCTTGTTCTGCTAGAGAAACATACCCAAATCGACGTTCATAAAAATCCGAGAAGCAATTGAAATAAAAATTACATAAAACGAGAACAAGTTGCCTTTTATGATTTGCCTTTGCAGACCAACAAGGTCTCGATTGTCCAACCCTTTTGTTCTGCTCATGGAATCAGCCGACTTCATATCTAGCCCGAGCAAGCTCTCCCTGTCACCAAAGTTTGGCATGTTCATCGTGGAAGCCATTTGATTTGCTCTTGATCTCAAATCTAGAAGCATGGTTCTGCGACGAGTTTTCTCTTTCTCCGAGCTGTGTATCAAATATGTAAGCATTAAACAAACTTCAGATGGTAATAAAAGCTAACCAGACTAAACATTTGTATCTTACAACTATACAATACTCACACGGAGAGCTTAGCCCAAAGGGATTGCAGACAATCTAATCTAGTACCCAAAATTGTGATCTTCCTTCGAATAGCAGATTCATGACGCTGAGTTTCAGAACGTGATGCAAGGAAAGAGCTTCGTTCTGATATCATTCCATTGATGTCATCTGCAAGTCTGAGTGCTACATTATATTCTTTCATCCACGAGTCTGGAGAAGATGCCATTAGCCCACAATATAACTCAGGCCTGCCGAATTAAACGTTGGTATGAGTGACAAGCGGCACCTAACACAACTTCCATTAAAATAACAAAATGAGGAGATCAAAAGAAAGTTAGATCCAGAGGAGGTAAAACTTCAACCTTAATCAAAACAATTATAACTCAGTTTAATCAAAAATTAAGAAATAATTAGCCTCAAATCAAATGAAAGTTAAATTCAAGCTTTACATTAATAAATTGAAGCTGAAAATTGAACCAACTTCTTTTCAGTATCAACCGAAATAAACAATAAGAAACTGTGAATCCAAACAGTATACATATACATATACACACACAGAAACATATATCTAAGATGAGAGCTAAAATCAAAGGGATGCAAAAAGTCATGATCCATACGCACACTCAAAGAACTTGAGCGAAGATTAAGAACTGAAATTAAAGGGATGCAAAAAGTCATGATCCGTACTCCATAAACACACTTAAAGGAAGAAAGAGAAATTCATAAAACATGAAAACTAAAATCAAATGGATGCAAAATTCATGATCCATACATTAAAATCTGTTGGCCCGTTGGCTCTGTGTGTGCGTGGACAGAAACAGAGAAACTGGAAAACAGAAAAACAGAGAGGAGAGAAGAAGAAGAAAAAGAAATATGTGAGGCTTGAATCTACTGCTTCTCCATTGAAAAAACAAAAGAAAAAAAAAAGCTTAAGTACTTCCATGCTATCCGTGACATCTAATATAATCCAAATACAAGAAAAATATACTTCATGAATAGCTGAAGTAATTCTGAAAATCCATAAACATACTAAAAACTGGCTTGTTCACTGTAACAAGCTTCACACAACATATTATTCCATACTAAAACCAGAGTTGAGGACAAAACACCGATTGCTGATTAGATATTAAACAAACTAAAAATCGCGATCACTGAGAAATTAATCAAATTACTTACCTAGTCTTTCAAGAAAAACAAAACAAAAGAACAAAATGAGAGAGATTTGAAGCTTAAAATGGCGTCGAAATCACGGAGCAACAAGCCAAAACGCCGCCGTCAACAGGGCGGTAAGCAGTGGCGATGGCTTTTTCCTCCGTGGTTATTCACATGGTGCTGGAAAGGAAACTTCATATAAAGATGAAATTTAAAATATAAGACGCAATTTTTTTTTTTCAGATAAATAAATCGATTAACTTCGGAGAAATTAATTAATTAATTAATTAAAACATTTGAGATATAAAATTATAATATAAAATAAAATCTTCTATCACTAAATATAATAAATTTAGAATTAGAAATTCATCAGTATTGTTATAATAATAAGTAAATAAATATTTATTTATAATATTAAATAAAAAATAATATATCTCAAAATAAATGCAAAATTTCTTCGAAAATATTTTAAATAAAAAAACAGTATCAAAAGTTTTGATTTTTAAGATTTATGAGGTAAAAAAAATTATGTAATTATATCTAATGTAATTATAACATTTTTTTTTAATTTACTGATTAAAAATTGAATATCACGCCTAATATTCATGATTAATTACACAAAATATGTTTAAATAATCAAATATAATATTTTATAATTCGTTACACTTTTTTACTTTGGCCTTATGACTTAGCAAAAGAAAAACACACCATTTGATCATATATATATATATATATATATAGTGCTGATTTTTAGTTTTTATTTAGAGATTTTCACATATAACATATGGGTTAAGCTATACTAAAAAGAATATATTTATATATATATATATGTGTGTGTGAAGTGTAGTAAGCATGAATTTATTCAAGGACCCAACATGCATTATAAATCTTAATTATATATTGTTGATTATATATATTTTTTTCTCTTAATTATTATTTTGTTTTCATATGTGTATCATTAATTTTAATTTAGAAATACTAATGTGTATTTTTATTAAATAAAGATTGATTAACTATCAAATTAAATTTTTAATTAACATACATAAGATGAAAAAATACTCTCTTAAGTCTCGTTATAAAGCTAATAACTTTAAATCTTTGTAGTTTTATTATAAAGCTAATTACTTGAACTTTTAAATCTTATCTCTCAACTCTCATCTCAAAAAACAAAAAACAACAAAAAAAAGAAGCCAAATCTTTTTATGAAGCTTAAACTCCATAGTTCATAATTAGTTAATCATGGTGAAGTACATTCAATTGAATTTTTTTCAAGTGGAATTAATTTACAAGTTTAGTCTTACTTTAATTAATTTCATATATAATTCTATGTGAAATTGAACTTTAGTACAATTTACAAGCACTCAACATATATACATATATATATATATAGATAGATAAATTTCACAACATTTCCAAATGTCTTTGCAGACATAGTATAAAAACTAAGATTCTATTGAAAATGAATTCTAATATTTTATTGGGCAGAATGACGAAATAAACTAGAGACTAATTTATCTATTCTTATTCTGAAAAGTCGTAGATTAACTTAAAACCGAAATAAATATTGAAGGAGAAAATATTCGTCCGTAAAAAATTTATTTTATTAAATTGATCAATTTTGATCGATTCAATATAATAAGGTCAAACAAAACATATAACATTATAACTCCAATAAAAATGACATTATATTATTCGTAAACAGAATTCAAAAATGAATTCTATTTCCAAAAAAAAGATGTACAAATTTAAAATGGATTAGATAAAATTTCAAAGAGTCAACTTTCTAGAAAAGTTCATGTTCATAGCAGAAAACTCTTGCAGTTCTTCATCCAATAAAAAAAGATTCATCGACAAAAAAGAACCTGTTTGTCTTTGTCTTTGTCTTCTTCCATCCCTTCCAAGGAAACAAGATGGAATGATAAAGTAACAAAGTTGAACTAAAAGAAATGGCAATTAGATACAAATCAATTAAGACTAACAAAAAGAGAAGATGACAACAATGAGTATAACATACAATAGGGCAGTTTAAGACTAACGCTGAAAGCAATGTCGGTCGTAAGTAACTCCATCCCGAAAAATTTGATACTGGTACTTAAAGCAGGTAATAAGAAAACTCAATGCATGGGAAAAATCTGTGGAAAATAAGAAAAGATTACACAAAATTTCTTTTTTCTTTTCCCTTTCTTACTAATTCTTTTGCATATTCTACTAAGAGGCGCATGAATGTTACATGATTGGTACAACTGCATGTGCTTATCAGATTCAGATATGGAACTTAGATCATTCTACAAGCATTTAGATAAGGGTATTGAATAAATGAAAGGCCTCCATTCTTCCTACTGTAACATAGGATGATGAAGCCTCCAAATAACATAATTGTTGTGCTAATGGCTCACACCACAGCCTGCTTGTCACAATGGTTGTATCTGATCTCGCCTAAGTGCCTGTTGTAGCTGAATGACCTGTTGGCGTTGTTCTGGGGGCAGGGAATTCAACTGCTCTGGTGTTAGGTTTAGCACTTGTTGCAATAGTACAGAGTCTACATCAGGTGGAAGTGATGGCTGAAAGCAGAAACACAAGAGGCGAAGATAAAAAGAGAAATAAAGAGGAGGAATTCTGTGTTATGCATTAACCATTCGTTGTGTGGCCCTAGTAATCTATATCTAATGTGGCGTCATCAGGTGGCAGACTGCCTCCCAAGGCATGGGCAAATAAAATCGTAATCATATGCCCAAAATCTTATGCGCAAATAAAATTTTCCAGTCCAGGCATTGTCCACAAGAGGATGCATTTTCCAATGGAAAACCAACTAGTAAATAACTTACATGGAAACAATGAAAATAACTCACATGGAAACAGTGAATCACTAGTGGGAAGTGTTACCTGAGAAATATGTTCCTCAGAATTTTTCACTTGTTCTGCCCTAGAAGCTGGATTTACAGACAATGGACCAGCTCCAAATGCTTGAGAGGGTCCAGACCCTGTGGCATTGGACACTTTCAAACCTCTTGTCACAAAAGCGGTTCCCCTTCCACCATCCGATTTGATCAGTTTTTGAGGTCGATTTTTTGGTTCTAGAGAATCACGAGCTACGCTTGTTTTCTCTAACAAGCTTGACGATATTGGTTTGCCAGGCTGTTATAAATGAAGTTAGGACTGAGAGCACATCTTAATAAGAAAACAACATTTCATTACCTGAAAACAATTAGAGAAAGGGGGGAACTGGACGTATAAATTAAACTCAAGCCACAAGTTTCTGAATATTTGTTATTATGCAACAAAGATTGATGAGAAACAAAGGGGGGAAATAAGGCCAAGGAAACATAAGAAATATACACAAGCCTTCTTCCTTGGTCACAATCACACCAACCAACAGAATAAGCTTTGTAACTGTATTCTAATAAATTTAAAATCAAAGCAAGCCAATAGTATATAATCATCATTCAACTTCTCATAACCTACCATTTGCACATTCTTTTTCCTATTTACCCTTTCTGCTCTGTTATTATTAATGTCAGTTATCAGAGATGGAAACATGTAGAGAAATTATTTTGCTATATCTGCAAGCTGAAACAGCATTTCTATATCTGCAAGCTATGAAGCCAAGGAGAATAGAAACTCTGTCCAAAGAAATATTTATCTAAAACAGAAAAAGAGAAGCACAAGGAAGGTTTAACACCTGAAAGGCAGCATCAGAAAAGGGAGGGCGAGGGAAAGATGACTGTAAAGCAGCATTTGGAACAACCATGGGACTGCTATAACCTAAACTATGGACAGCAGCAACTTGTCCAGAATGTTGTAATCGAGTTTGTATTTGCTGGTTTAAAGAAGAGGAATTTGGCACAAGAACTTGCGGCCTAGGACGAGGATCAACAGCAGGAAGATTTGGAACTCCAGACGGGCCGGCCAATCCAGCTTGTTGTGGAAGTTGAATGCGAGGCTGAATTGTAGGTTGTGGAGGTGCAGAAAATTGGTTAAGAATGAGGGGGTTTTGGGGCAAAGCAGAAACTAGAACATCTTGCACCTTGGGCATCAATCCAGGCATTGACTTCTGTGCAAGTGGGGGTAGTCCAGAAAGAGTTTGAAGTGCCGACTGCTGCGACTGCTGGGCACCCTCCATTGAATTATGTGTAAGTTGACCAGGAGCCTGCCGAATGTTAGGCATCTGCAACTGCACATATTGAAAAACAGAAAACTCTTCATATCACGTACTGAGAAGAGCAGAACAAAAAGCGACATTTTAAAGAAATGAAACAAACCACTAGCGGTGTCACCATTCCAAGCATTATCTGCGCCTGTAATCAGGGTCAGAGAAATTTGCAAGATCAGACTTATTGCCTATATGTCGGAGTTAAATTTGAAAAGTAATTTCATATCAGGACATAAGTACTACTAAACATGCTACTGTTTGAAAAACAAAGGACATTAGATCCTGAGGATATAATTAGAAAAGAAATATTATTTTTTATAAAAAAAAAATATATTTATACACGCGTTTCTCTCGAATATCAAAAGCAGAAAAAGATTGCATTAAAAATAATTAATTAATTATGAACTCATAATTGTATATTCTTGACAGGACGACAAACCAGGAGTCAACACCTTTGCATCAGTTCAAAATTAGGGATACCGAATCCCTAACCATTTTTGGATACCAGCCTGCTAGATATCCAGCCAGTGGTGGGTAGATACCTTTAGCTCAGCTCTGGGATTGGAATGGTATCCATGCAGCTCAGAGCATGAAAAATCTGATTTCTTTCATTCCTCATTTGGACTAATATGGCAAGAAAGAAATAGAAGGGTTTTTGAGGATTTTGTATCTAATTCTTCTAGAACGGTTCCAAACCTGACATATTTTGTTCAAAGGGCATTCCCTCCAAAATGGAGATGATCTTGGGTACCTCATAGATGATTTGCTTCATGCATCTTGCAGATGGGCAGCACCCATGGGTGGGTGCCTATGTTTATAGATTTTATCTTTTTCTCTAGAAAGATTAAATTTCTGTAGATGACTCCGGAAATTTAATACGAAGTAACCCCAAGCAGAGTACAAATTCTCATCAGGTTGTTACGGTATTAAGTTTTTGAAAAGGAATAGACAAACACACAGATCAACAGTCACACAGATCTAATAGGAGATTAGTCTACAAGCAAAATGTGGATCATCCAACTGGTACTGGGAGCTACTTATATTTTATAAGCTTATCAATTAGAGAGGGGATAACCTTTTCCCGTCATCATCCCAATCTCCATATCCAGCGATCAGTGGCCGGTATATTGTCAAAAGATATTCCATAACCACCTTTAAGAGTCATTCTAAGTATCCAAAGATTCCTCTGAATATGCCAATCATTGTGAACCAACAATTCACTGTTCCAAATGTATAGTAATTATGTTATCATCTAGTCCAAGAAACCATATTTTTTCCTTTTTTAGAAAACATATAAGCTTGCTAAAATTTGAAGAGAAAAGAAAAGTGTTCTCTTCATTCCTCGAACCTGGCACCTGTCCTATTTAGCCAGATGTACTGAAACTTATTCATCATATTAGGTTGGGGGAGAAGCAAATGACAAGGCAAGCACCAGATGTCTATGTCAGGAGGGGAGAGAGAGAGAGTTCTCATCAGATGAAAAGTGAGAAGCAAAATGTGAACAGTTTCACTAACTTATAAGTGAAAGATATCATCAATGATGATCTAAAACCATCCAAAGCAAATGCTTGATTAATAAAAACTATGAGCAATTTAAACTTATAGAAATAAACTTTATTTCTCCAAATAGATATTCTTGCTCTACCAATTCAATTTCTTTCTCCATTTCAGTTTTTTTACTAAAAATTTCAGTTGGTAAGATATGTGATGCATATGTGAAATATTTCTACGCCAAATCAAGACATACAATGGAAACTAAAAAATAAGCATTGCTAGCGTCCACATTACTCAAAAATTAGAGTTTTGGCTATAGAAGCTTCAAAGCAAACTAAGAAAGAAATGTTCTCGACACAGACCAATGGGCATATAGTAGATAGAATATAACCCATAGGAAAAGTTATTACTAACAAGAACAAATAAAATCTTTCAGTGCCAGAGAAACATTACATGACAGGAAGGTGTACCTGGAAAAGAGCTTTTAGCAACTGAGGCCTTGCAAGCAACAGCTGGCGAGCTTGCTCTTTATTCCGTGTAGCCATTATATGCCATCAGAAGAAACAAGTGAATATCCCATTATTTAAAACAACTAATAAGAAGTCAAGTTTTTTCAAGTGAATGCCTTCAATTCAGACATAATTTCATTGAGCTGACTCCTAGACATTTTGGCAAGATGCAGAGTTAAGGGATCACTGGTTGGTGCCAACGGATTCTGCAAACCATTTTGATTAGGCTGCAAACTGGACTGGGCACCACCAAGAGCACCTGCCATAACATTTGCAGCAGTTATGGCTATATGGAGACCAATTGGCTGATGATTAGCAGATTCCCCAGAGAATGCAGAGCCTCCAAGTTGTTTTTGAGAATCTGCAATATATCATTTGGATTAGGAAAGATTATTTCAATTAATATAGATATATATGTACACACATCAGGTTATCTTCGTGAGAGCAAAGAAAGGTCAAAGAACAAACTCCTTGGAGAACAAACAAAACTAACCAGAATTGGCAACCAGTCCAGGCCCACCACGACCCTGCAAGAGAATGAAAGCTAAGTTCTAAAAGTGAAAGCTGATACTCAATACAAGTAACATTCCCATGATTGATTATCAAAGCCAGAAGATAATGAAATGACATCAAAAGCAAACACTGATCCAAGAAATAAAATAAATCTGTAATGTGTTAGTGCATGTGTATGCACACATCTGCATTTCTAAAAACTTGCCCAAAGCCTCAGCAGTCAGCTAGATGACCAAAGTTCTGTGCAGAAGCAAGACCAAGAGCACATACTAAATCTAAATTGAAAAGGCAAATTTGAGAGCAAGCTAAATACAGTAAAGCCTACATAAAATTTAAATTAACATGTCTCTAACAGGAAAGGAAAAGGAAACTCTGCCTAACAGGAAATTAAGTTTCACCTGTTCTCGATTCCTGTCGGCACCTTTGTCATTTTCAGCAAAATCAACTCGTAATTGCCGGCCATTGATCTCATAACCCTGAAGATTACGACGAGCACTTAGAGCAGTCTCTTCATCCTTATACTCACAGAATCCATAACCTTTTGGTTTCCCAGTTTCTCTATCAATAACTAATCTGAAACGTGAGAAGACAAATCCTATGAAGGAACCTATAAAGAAAATGGAGAATTACAACAAGAAACAAAATAATTCCCCCATGCATAACTTATTCCACCTCTGTGCCTCACATTTTGTTCAAAAATTTTAATCATTTTGAACTTAATCTATCAAATGAAGAGAAACTATAGAGATGATACTTTTCTTGGTTGATCTGGATTTGGCATCAGGTTCCAGAATTTCATTCTCTTCATGAGGCAGTGATTGGAATTACAGGCAACCAGGCATATATGCATCTGATAGCCCACTCGCTAAATAGTCATAAGTAGATTTTTTAAGAAGAAGAAGAAGAATAAAAAAAAACCTAAGTATGCCAAAGCAGGATATCTAAAACTGAAGGATACCTATTGAACATGCATTGCGCTAGTCTTTCCTTCCAGCACAGCTGCCTTTCTATTTACCATACAATAGGAGGTCTCATCCAAAAGAAGATGTTCTATTAAGAAATTGAAGATTCAAATTTTTGAAACACCTCACCGACAAGCCAAGCTCTCTCTTTTATGCCTGTCTCTAGTCTCAACAACCCCTTTATCAAGTGAAGGATACTATCTCCCTTTTCAATGCCTTTTCTCGATATGGGTATAAAGTTTGATTTTAGCAACCCTTTTACCAAAATGTATTTAAATGTTTGCTAACATAAGCTTATTATCCGTTTTTGTTCTAAGGTTCACGAGAAAACAGTAAGTAAAACATATAGAAAATTTCCAACAATAAGTGTAACGCCACATGCCCCTTTTATCCAAAA